ATCGCGCAGCCAGTCGCCCAGAAGGTAAACCTCCGGGAGCTGGGAAGAGCGAGGGGGCCCTTTCCCGGGGCACAGGACGCGCCTCCGTGCACACGGGGAGCGCACACACACAAAGCGGCGGAGGGGCCGTGCTCCGGGTTCCACCCTCCGCGCGCGCCGCCCCGCGAAGGCCCCGGCTCCCCGGCCGCCGCCGCCGCCGCCGCCTCCCCGAGCCCACCGAGCGGCGCCGCCAGAGGTCCCGCCGCCCTCCTCTCCCCTCCCCCAAACCGGGGGCAGCGGAGGCCCCGGGAGGTCGGCAGCTTCCGTTCCTTCCCCGCCCAAAGGGGGAGAGAGGCGGGCAGCGGGGCAGCGAGCGCGCCCTGTGCGAGCCTCCTCCGTCCCCCACGCGGACCCGGACCTCCCTTCCCGCCCCAGCCCCGCGACTCACTCGTCAGGCCCGCAGCCGCCGCGCCAGGTCCCCGCGCACCGACCGCCACAGGCCCCACTCCAGGGCCGTGCCCCCCCACCCCACAAGCCCGCCGCCGTGGGTTCCGGGGCAGTTCGGGGAATCACTTCCGTCGACTCACCGACGCTCCGGACGACGCGCGGGAGATTGGTATCCGGCGAGGCGGGGAGTGTGCGGCCTATTTCCGTCCACAGGAAATGCACGGCGCCGCCTTCCCCTCTCCCCTGGACCACTGTACTCCAGGCTGGTGTAGCGGGGAACAGCAAGCCCTGGCGGATCTCAACCCATTTAATACCAGGGCTTCGGATTCCCAGCATGCAGCGGGCGACCCTAATCCACTTTCCGCAGGATTAAGCGTTCTCAGAGGCCTGCACGTGGTCCGAGGCCGCGCACTGCACCCTGGGATTCGTAGTTTCTCCGGCGAGTCCGTCGGTGTTTGGGTGTGGCCGCAGTGCGTCCTGGGATTTGTAGTTTCTCGCGCTGGCTCTTAAAGACTTAATGAGGTTTAGAAGTTGTCCCTGCCTCTCGTTTTGGGGTTACGCCTGGAGACTGCAGAGGAAAGATGGAAAGGTGGGAGTGTGCGGTTTCTAAGCTAACAAAATCGTGTTCTTTGTGAAGCAACATCTGTCTTTTGTGTCCTTTGTTGAGAAGTTGCAGCGCGAGTTGAAGAGCATCTCAAACTGCTCGCGCCATGGCCTGGCCTCATTTCCTCTCTTCCCGGTACGGTTCGATGTGTTCCGAAAAGTAAGCACATTTCCTCCCGCCCCCCACCCTGTCCCCACCCAGCCTAGGGGTTGCTCAGCACGTCTAGATTCTGAGATCATTCACAGAAATTCCTGGCGGCTGCCACCCGTAGTCAATTCTGGGACCTTCTTTGTCACTCCACGCCCCCTTTGCCCCCACACTCTCTCTTGCTCTCCGGTTCCCTTGCTCTCTCTCGACGCGTCTATCCTTTTTATTTGCTTCCTTCGGTCAGCACCAGGCGCCCTTCCAGGAAGGCTGAAACAGCTCAATAGTCACCCTCTGTACAGGACCGTGGCACGTAGGGCCAAGAAGCTCACCATTGCAAGTTGCTCAACTAGGCGCTGTTGTGAAACCATGCCCATAAACGGAAAGGGACGAGGCAAAGTTTGTTGACCTAATTAGTGGCTTTTTCGGGAAGATATTTTTAGTTAATCTGGTGGACAAGATGTATTGCTTTTTTTTACAGAAAGGCTGCCCTGGGTTAACTGATTAAACAAAACCTTTGCAAACATTGTTTAAGTTCTTTGGTTGCATATTCAGAGTGAGAGGAGGAGGCTGTGGGCCCATTTCCAATCAGATCTTCCCTCCTTTTCCTTCGGAAGTGTCCTTTCCTCTCCTATCTTGCCTTTTCCCCTCACTGCATTATGGAATGACAAGATTTTCCAGGTGAGGATACTGAGGCTAGCTAAAGCCAGATTCAAGGCTAGAATCTAGTCCAGAACTTTTTTCTTTTGTGCAAAATTAAACATTTATTTATGTAATTTATATTAATACATGCTTTTTATAAAAAATGCAGAAACCGCAGTATTTTTCCCCCATGAACTTTTACATAGATCATGCACTTGATTTTTCTGTGTAGCTTGTATTGTTGACAGGAAGCCACTGTCAGGATAGAATAGAGAGAGACAGAAGTGTTTCCTGTAGGCAGAGGTGTCAGACATGGGTCCCTTTGGGTCTCCCTATTAGTTTAATTTGTATGCAGAACCTATACAGAAAAGTTAGATAGATTCAGAGGAAGGAAGAGTGAGAACTGGTAAAAGGAATATCAATAACAAAATATGCATGTGACACTATTTTACTGGCAGGAAGTAGCAAAGATTTGAAATGATTTTTTATAAAAGTGAAAGAAGCAAGTGCCAAAGCTGGACTGCATTTGAACATAAGAAGACAAAAATCACTGAAACCGGTTTGGCTCAGTGGATAGAGCGTCAGCCTGCGGACTGAAAGGTCCCGGGTTTCGATTCCGGTTAAGGGCATGTACATTGGTTGCGGGCACATCCCCAGTAGGGGGTATGCAGAAGGCAGTTGGTCAGTGTTCCTCTTTTATGGATGTTTCTGACTCTCTCTTCCTTTCCTTTCCTCTCTGTAAAAAAACAAAGTATTTAGGGTTCTTTTTTTTTTTTTTAACATATTGATTTTTTTTACAGAGAGGAAGGGAGAGGGATAGAGAGTTACAAACATTGATTAGCTGCCTTCTGCACACTCCCCTGAGCCAAACCGGTTTCGGCTCAGCCTCTATTTTTAAAGGGAACCTCTCAGGTGATATGAACAAGGAATCAAAACTTATTTTTTAAATAGCAAAACATTTTAAAAATGTCACTCAAGTAGTTTACATTCAACAAATGTCTCTAAATTACTAGACTTGGGAAATTTATTTTTACAATGCATAACAATTCCCTATAACTTTATAGCACAGTCTTCAGTATATTTAATTTTAGCTATTTGGAAATCTTGAGAAGTACATCAAATGCTTTATTTACTGACTATATTTGTAGGATGAAACTCAGTTTAATAGAAGATAAAAATGCAGGTTTTCTCAGCATATTGTTAAAATAATCGAAGAGAAGGCTATTAGAGTGAGGTAACTCTGGTACTTGGTAGCCTGGTAGGGAAACCAAAACCTAAGCCCGAGTCAGTTCCTGTAAATGCTTCAAGGATAAGAACAACCACCAACTAAGTTTTCCCAAATAATGCAACTGCTTAACTTACAGCCAATCAAATAAGTCCTTTGCTTTGCCTGTGCACCTTGTCTATAAAAGCTTTGCCTTTAGCTCTGGTCAGTAGAGTTTTCCTCACTTCAGTTTGCTACTACCTGATTTGAATACATTTTTGCTCAAATAAACTCAAAATTCTTAATATCCCTCAGTTTACATTTTTAACAATATTAAAGAAAAGGTTAAATATAATCAGTATAATAATGAGTAAGTGATGATGTTTGCCTACTAATTACACTGTTTAGAAGAATTTTTAAAATGTAAGTGGGTAATTTTCAGAATGAAATTATTCATAAACAAGTAGTATAATTGTATCCTTCTGGGTACTGAGAAAAAGTGGACAGGAGTTGCCATGGTGATATTATTTTAGACTATTAGCTTGTTCTCCTCTTATGCAAATAACATGTTGAATCAAAAACAGTTTCCAAAAAGTAAACAGAAGTGTGATTTTACTAGTTGGAGGCTCATCTTTCAAGACCCAGCTGGACATGAAGCTTCTAGACAGTGTGAGCCAAATGATTTTGTTGTGGGCGACCCACAAATGACGACAACCAGTCAGCCAAATTGGAATTTAGGAAGCCTTTATTACAAACTCGAGTCCGGGCTCACTTCTCAACTGACAAAGCAGCGAGCAACGAGAGCCCGACCCACTCTAAGCACGCTCCTTTTATTCCCGTCTAAGGGATGCCTGGCAGATTATGATTGGCCAAAAGTTTTAACAAAGAAACGTCAGTTATAAGTTATAGAAAAATTCCACTAGTACGGTAACATTTAAAGTTTATACAACACCTGGGTTTATTTTCAGCTTAAGCAGTCTCTGTTTGACCTGGATTGGTCTGTTTGTCCTGCCTTGTGGCTACTGGAAACAGGACGTGCCTGCCTGGGGGTTGAGCCTTGCAACAGAACTATTTTATGACTAACATTTATGCTACATTCTTTGTTGTGGGTCTGGTTGCTCATTCCTTCCCTGGCCTGGAGTCCTGCCTCGACAGGGTCTTGCTGGCCACAATAATTTATGATGTGATTTGCTATGGGCTTCTGTAGCCTTTTGAGAATGGGTCTATTTGATTATATTTCGGCATATTTATAAGTGTTTCCTTCGCTATGTGAGCACGCACTGTGGATTCTCAACTGTATCCAATATCTTTGAATCCTCTGCTCCTAACAATCCCAATAGACGCTGAAGCACTTGAACAAGCAGGGAATGAGTGTTTACATGGATGTGAATGATTCCACAAGACAAATTGGACAAGTAGGAACATTCTAGGAAGCGAGTTCCGTTTACTTTCTAGCAACCCACTTGTTGCATTAAATTACCACTCATTTTCGTTCAAATCCTAAAATGTTGTTATTCCTGTGTCAACAGGCTAAGCATCACTTTCCGCAAAGAAAATAGTTTTTTTTTGGGGGGGGGGGGACTAGAAAACGACGCCCACGAGAATGAAAGACTGAACCTTGGCTTCCAGGCTTTGTCCTTGGAGCGCGGTTCTCCCCTCCGTCCTTGCACACTGTCGTGCGGGGCGTCCGACTCCGGGGCGGGGAAGCCCCGCGCGCCGCTGGGCGTCTGCGGGTGGTGGCAGCTTAGGGGACCGGAGTCTCGGTATCTTAGCTCCAAGGATCCGGAACGCGCGCGACCCGGGGGAAGGTTGCCGGCGGACCGCGTATTCGGCGCACGCACGGCGGCCAATCCGGCCCGGAGGGGTCCGGGGGGGCGGGGCCAGCGTGACCCGTTCCCGGCGGCCCTCGCGTGAGGAGCCGGCCTTCGGGGTTCCCGGCGGGCGGCGCGGCGCAGCCCGTCGCCACTTCTCACGTGCGGGATGCTGCTCTTGGCGCTGGGCGGCCCGTTGGCGGCCGGACGGCGGCTCTGCGGGAAGAGGGCGACGCCGTGGGCGGCCATCGCGTTCCGAGGCCTCGGGGCGGCCGTCTCGCGGGGGGCCTCCTGCAGCTCCGCGGGGCCGGGCGGCGGCGGCCGGAGCGCCGGGCTGCAGGTTTTCCGGCGTCCCGGGCCGGCGCAGGTCGGCCGGCGGAGGGCTTGCGGCCGGAGGAAGGGAGGGAGGTGGGCGCGGCGTCCCTGCCTGGAGAGCCCGGCTTCCCCCACGCTCATCCCGGACTGGGGTGCGGAAGGAGCCGGCCGCGGGGGCCGCAGGAGAAGCCGGACTCGGCTCGGGAACAGCCCGTGAGCCCGGGGTCCTGGGGACCACGGCTCCCGCGAGTGTCGGAGCATCCTTTGGAAAGGGGTTATTGTTATTCTCTGGGTGATTCCCAGCACTTTACAGCAAGTCCAGCGGGTTTGTGGGGACTTATTTGCTTTTTTTTTTTTTTGGTCTTTTTTTATTTTTTATTAAGATATTATATGTCTACATACCTTACCAATCTCCCTCCCCCCCGAGACTTATTTTCTCGTTTGCCCTTTTTGCAGAAGCTCAGAAGGGTTAATTTGCAACATGCAATATCCATGCACATTATATCCCGAATTACGAACTTGAGTAATCTGACTTTGAGTTGTGTTTTTTTTTTTTTTTTTTTTTTTTTTTTTTTTTTTAATATATTTTATTGATTTTATACAGAGAGAAAGGGAGAGAGAAAGAGAGTTAGAAACATCGATGAGAGAGAGTCATCGATCAGCTGCCTCTTGCACACCCCCTACTGGGGATATGCCCGCAACCAAGGTACATGCCCTTGACCGGAATCGAACCCGGGACCCTTCAGTCCCCAAGCCGACGCTCTATCCATTGAGCTAAACCGGTCCTGGCTGAGTTGTGTTTTTAAAAGTATATATTTTATTGATTTTAGAGAAAGGGAGAGGGATATAGAGATAGAAATATCGATGAGAAAGAAACATGGATTGGCTGCCCCCTGCGATCCCCCCACTGGGGGTCCAGCCTGCAAGCTGGGGCAGGTGCAGTAACGGGGAATTGAACCGTGACCTTCCAGCTCGTAGGTCCGTGCACAACCACTGAGCCACCACACCCGTGGGGCTGAGTTCGTTTTTTAAAATTTATTATGTGGTTCTATTTTTACGAATTCCTTTGCTCTCGAGAAAAAAGAGGATAGAGGTGCTAATCCTCTCGTTTTAATCTGGTTCAATTGTCTTCTAATCCTGCCTAGTGAAATATCAGGATTAGCAGACCCGGTTGAAATTGGGAACTAATTATATTTCAGCAGAAAGGAATTAGGCATGCCCTTTGAAGTTTGTGTGCCGTGAAGTTAATTTTCCCGTGTTCTGGGGACTCTTCCCATGACATTGAATGTTGGATTTCAAATAATAAGGTTTCCTTAAAAGGAACAAGGGGTGCCAGGGGATAGATACAAGGTCTTCAAGATTTACTCTCTTTTCTTTCTTTTTTAATACATTTTTATTGCTTAGATTATTACAATTGTTTCTCCTCCCCCTCTCCCCCAGGCTTCGTTCCACCCGGTTCCCGCCCCACCCTCTGCCCTTACCTCCCCCCACCATTCTCCTCATCCATAGGTGTATGATTTTAATCCAATATCTTCCTACACCCACCACACCCCTTTCCCCCTGATAATTATCAATCCACTCCCTTTCTTTGCCCCTGATTCTATTATATTCACCAGTTTATTCTGTTCCTCAGATTTTTAATTCACTTGATTTTTAGATTCTCTTGTTGATATTTTTGTATTTGTTGATCATAACTTTTGTCTTTTTTCTTTTTTTGTACTAGCTATAATATAAATATTTTAGAAGTAATAAAAACATTCTGGAACTTACACAATCTGATTTTTCAGTGTTTTACTTACATTAATAAATTTTTTGTCTTTGAAGAGCAAATGCATGTATCTTGGACAAACGAGAGTGATGTTCTCATTAACAGTGGCATAGAAGAATCTATTCCAGTAAAGTCTTTATATGTTCAAGGTCACACTATTTAAAAAGCTTGAAGCTGGGACGAAAACTTAGGCCCTCAAACTCTAACTCAACATGCATCTACTTATGACTGGAATTAAGGGAAGCCATTCTATTAGCAAATTTGGTTTCGTTAGCTCTAGATATTCCTTATATTTCATGTGAGAAGTTCTCTTTTCATTAATTTTTTTTTTAATTTAAAAGTTGTTCTAAACACAATTTATTATCTACTTATAAAGATCTCTGTTTCAATAGGTACCCATTTGTTGGGAAAGATGTGTTCGAAGCTTACACAAACAAGTTGAAAAATCAGAAGACGGAAGACTTATTTATACTGGGAATTTGGCCCGAACAGTATTTGGTGGGTAATCAAATGATGGTATCATCTTTTCCTTTTAATTGTAAAAAAAAAACAAAACCCAAAACATTTATTATGTGCTACTTTAACACCTCTTAATTGCAAGACATAAGGAAAAAGTAAACTATAATTTTTTTTCCGGTAGTTTGTTGATACAAGATTTAGAGGTTGAGACCTTTGCATGTTTAGGTTTAAATAGATTTTTGAAGCCTATTATGCCTTTGTTATCTTACAGCGAGGTATTAAAGCTTGCTTTCTTTGGTCACCTCTTGGGCTGCTTAACAACAAAACAGCAAAAAGTGTATATTCAGGTAAAGTTTGAATATACAGAAAAAAAGGAAGAATACCACTGAAGAGGTTATTTTTGGGGAATGTTTATTTTATATATTTAAAAATTTGGCAGTTAAAATGAGCATGTAATACTTTTTTACATTTTTTTAGGTCATTTTAGAACTTTCAACAAACATGCTTATTGTGGCTTTTCCAGGTGGTCGATAATTATAGAGAAGGAAAAGATGGTGTGCTAAATTGCTACAAATTTAAAACTCTTTCCTTGGATCATAATTTAGATTTTAGTATGGAATAATTTAGTAGGGGAGATCAGGAGATTATATAATCTTTATAAAGTATAACCTGAACTACATGGAGGATTGTTTTTATAACCAAGTTCAACATTAGATTTTGAATACTCACATTTGCATTTGTATTTTTGATCATGCTGGTATCAATTATCAAAATTTTCTCTGGAAATCTGTATGTTCTCTAGTGTTTGATATTAAAATAGAGTACATTTAAAGTACATTTTTAGCTATTTAAAACATTAGGAGTAAGGACAGGTTATTATCACTATTGAGTGAAGCCCTGAAGTTATTCTAATAATTTAGAAAATTCTTAGAAGTCATTACATGACTAGGCCATTGAGCCTGTGCTGTGTCACATCTCTGGCCTGGGATACCTGGATTGATGCCACTGAGTTGTATCCCTTCCTCTGAACACAGACATTGTTCCTGCAAATGCAGGAAAGTCATCATGTGACTGAGGTTTGGCATCATTTCATCTGTTTAAGAACTATGTGCATTTTTGTTTCAGTGAACTGCCTGCTTGTATTTCTTGCATGTTTATGAACAGGATTGGTTTTTTTCTTATATATTAGAAACATTTTATATATGGGGAGTATTAGCTCTGTGATAGATGTTACAAATATTTTTCTCATTTGAATATACTTGGTTTATGGTGTTCATATCTATGTACATTTTAATGTGTTCAGATTTACCAGTCTTTCCCCCTGATTGCTTCAGTATTTTGAGACACAATTAGAAAAGTTTTCCTATTCTCAGATTACAAAGGACTTCATGAATATTTTCTTCTGATACCTCTATGATTTTAGTTTTTTACATTTACATATCTGAGTTATTTGGAATGTTTCTGATATATGGGATGAGGGATGGATTGAATTTTATCTTTTTCTGTATGGCTATTGTCCTAGTACCACTTTTGCCCATTTATTTTAGATTAATCTTTATTCTGTACTAAATATCCATATACAATGAAGTTTATTTCTTGATTTTTCCTTTTGTTCCACTGATCTGCTTTTTTATGCATCAGCACTGTGCTTTTTTAAAATTTTATTTTATTTTATTGATTTTTTACAGAGAGAAGAGAGAGGGATAGAGAGAAAGATCGATGAGAGAAGAATCATCGATCAGCTGCCTCCTGCACACCTCCTACTGGGGATGTGCCCTCAACCAAGATACATGCCCTTGACCGGAATCGAACCTGGGACCCTTTAGTCCGCAGGCTGACGCTCTATCCACTGAGCCAAACTGGTGTTGGCGGCACCATGCTTTTCTTTTTTTTTTTAAGAGATGGTGAGTCTAATCTTCACACACACACACACACACACACACACACACACACACACACAGAGCAATGTGAGAGGAACATTGGTCAATTGCCTCTCTCAAATGTACTACCCCAAGCAGGGACCAAACTCAACCTAAGTGTGCGCTCTGACAGGGAATTGAACCCTGGGCTTTTCAATGTACAGGATGACACATCAATCAACTGAGCTACACCATCCAGGGCAGTATCATGCTATCTTAATTATAGTCTTATGCTTTAGTATCTAACATTCCTCCCCCCTTTTTACTTTTTGTTTTTCCAAATTAACTTTTTAATCAGTTTGTCTAAGATTTCAACTTTATTTTCCAAACAGATGTTATTTTATTTGGATTATGTTAAAAGTATACATTCAGCTGAGATCGGTTTGGCTCAGTGGATAGAGCATCGGCTTGGGGACTGAAAGGTCCTGGGTTGGATTCCGGTCAAGGCATGTACCTTGGTTGCGGGCACATCCCCAGTGGGGGGGTGTGCAAGAGGCAGCCAATCGATTACTCTCTCTCATCGATGTTTCTAAGTCTCTATCTCTCTCTCTCTTCTTCTCTGTACAAAATCAATAAAATATATTTTTTAAAAAAAAGTATACATTCAAAGAAATTCACATTTAGAGTCATTTGTTTACTTATTGTGGTAAAACACATAACAAAATTTATCATTTTATCTATTAAGTATACAGTTCAGAAGTCATTGATGTTGAATCTTTCTAATATGATATGTTGAATACCTTTCCCATATATTTCTATCCACTGGTATTATTTTTATTTTTGGTAATTTGTTGTTTTAAGCTTGGGCTCTTAGCTATGATAGATAAAGTTAGCCCCCCATTTGCAGATTTTATATTATGAATGTGCAGGTGCTTGTTAATAGTTTTATTTGATAATGTGCTAACTGAATTGATTGTTATAGTATTCATAAGGATCTTTGAGTATTGTTAAATCTTCTATTGGGGAACTGAGGTAGAGGCCAAGTTCATCCTAAAGCAGATTTCCCCTCCGGAGAGGCAATGCATTGGAATGGCCAGTGGCTTGGACTTGAGTCAGATGGCCTGGGTTTGAATCTCGGCACTGCAACTTGGTAGCTATGTGACATTGAACAAGGGCCTCATTTTTTTCTCATTTCAAATTACCTCATGTTAATAATTGTATATGTGTAATAGGGCTGTCTATAGATTTCATGAATAAAATATGTAGAATGCCTTAGACAGAGCCTGGTATGTTATAACACTTACATTTGTTTTGTTGTAGTTTTAATGATGCTAGAGAAAGAAGAAATGTGGAAAATTAATTTGATAGATTGATTCTTTTATAAAATTTAAAATTATTAATCCTCTCCCTTTTTTTTTTTTTCCTGTTTAGGTGTGAAATGTTTCTCTTATTCTACAAGTGCGCTCAGTCTTGCATTTCTGCCATACATTTTTGCCCAAAGTAATGTTGTATTTGGAAGTCTGCCTTTGCAAATCTTATTTTACGGCATCTTAGGAAGCTTTACAGTGGTCACTCCGGTCCTGCTTCACTTAATTACCAAAGGCTATGTCATTCGGTTGTATCATGAGGCCACGACAGACACTTACAAAGCCGTCACTTACAGTGTTCTGCTTTCAGAAACCAGTACTGTGTTTCACCAGAATGACGTGAAGATTCCAAGCACCACACATCTGTTTACCACATTTTTCGCTAACACAAAATCACTGTTAGTTAATCCAGGTCTCTTTCCAAACCCCAAAGACTATGACCATCTAATGGGTTATGACAAACCATTCACTTTTGATATGGAAGAAACCAGTGAAAAGAAACAGCTTGAAGATGAGAAATGAGTATTGTTTTTATGTTTGTGCTTAAATGTGATTTATTTTCCCGTGTATAATAATAAAATTGCCTTTACTTGTGTTTTCTGTTAGTGACTGTTAAATTGAAACTGTAACAAACAACTTCTAATTTTCAGAGAATTATATTCCTTCATAATAACAAGCTATGCTTGAAAAACAAAACATAATACACCATTTGTGTTTTAAAAAAGGTGTGAAAATACATGTACATGCTGGCATATGCATGGCTAATAAGTAAATGTGATTGCCTCTCAGCTGGTAATTGGATATCTGGCACATAATAAAAATAAAGGGAGTTATTTTCCCTTTGTGTTTGGATTTTTCTAAAGGTATAGATACAACCTTTTCTCACATTAAAAACTTAAAAATTTTATATATTCTGGAAAGCAGTGTTAATTTGCTTCCTTTGGTAACAGCTTGTTACCTCGGTTCTCAGACAGCTGCCTGTAATAAGGCTCTCCCTGTGGTAAGCTGTGGCAAATGGCGACCTCGGCAGTGTCTTGTGTGGTCCTTCACTCCTCTGGTGCATCCCATCAGTAGGAAAAGAACATGTACTAAGGTGGATAGTGTGTTTTATAGCGCTCTCTGCTAACTCTTGGCATTTTAAGATTTTACCTCTAGTTGTAAAACAAAAGTAGTTTCCTGTGAAGGATTTTCAGCCAGGAGCAAAAGAGCTCAAACCATTTAGATCTGTAGTGCCTGGTGTATCCTAGGTACTGTCCTAATTGCCAGTCACAGTTAACACTCAGACTGCATGGAACTACCTCATGTCTTGCTGCCTGCCAAGATGGTAAGTCTAATCTTCACGCCTTGCCTCCATAAGGGAGGCCGATGGGGAAGTAGCAGAGCTATCACTAGTTCATAGGGAGGAGCATGCAAGTCTGAAAGTGCTAGAAGCTTATATTAATAGCTTCAGGTAAAAAAGAGGTCATTTTTGTGACACCCAGAGCCTGCCTTCTGCTAGGATCTGCCAGCTTGCCTAGCAACGGGCTCTGGGGTCTCAGAAAGATAAGTTGGTTACATCTCCATTTTCAGGTTGAG